CGTCCGGCTAGCAATTTAAAGGCACATTCCGCGATAAAATAAGGCTATGACCTCTCAAATGTGTCGGACGATCCCGGAAGGCGATTTTTGAGGCTGCGCTACTTTCAAAATGTGAAAAACGGCAAGAACTCCGCTAGAAGCTGACTAATTAGGCCCATGGACACCCCTTAGGCCCATGCCGACCCTCACCGGCTGCTAGCTACTAGCTAGTAGCCACTATGCTATCTTTCTCTATAACATTTCGGACTGCTTTTTCTGCTGCTTTTCTCCGCTACTCAGATACTTAGCACTTCTTTATGCTATTTGAGTGTTCCGTTTCCCGCAATGCGTCGCGCAACTGTGGGCCTTTAACTCGACCCTGGTGGTAATAAAATGGCTTGGCGTTATGGTTGCTAGTGCGGGCCTGGCATTGATGCGTTGCCGAACAATGTGCTTGGCTGAGGTTCACTACGTACGAATTGCTCCGGCTTTGAGAGGTAGAGAACCTATTGTGATAGCACCTGCTGAGGGCGAGTTTTCGTGTATGGGCGGAAAGTCATCGAGAAGCATTCGAGCAAGTGAAAACGAGAAAATGAATGCTAGCTCTACCAAAAAACCTAGCGTTGTTTGATAATGCCGTAATACCGTTGATGAGGCGAACGAGCTCCAGGGATTTATTGACTTCTTCGCAGAAATCTGCACGTCCTAAACATCGTGTACAGAATCAAAATAAATGAGAAGCCTAACAAGTATTGCTCAAGTAGTGGGTGCCTCTTCTTACCCATTTTTAAACGATGGGGGCAGCGCGCTGCGAATTTCTGCATTTTCTCAGAGACTGTCGTAGAGGAGGACAGAGACATGACAACAATTGTTCCAAAAGGGCAAAGTTCCACTAAATGCACAGCAGCGCTACACCCAAGTAAAGTACGCAGCCACACCCACTCACTCTCCGGTACATGCTATCGAATTGACCGCAAAGACACAATAAGAGGTCACAAAGAAAGGATTATCAATCAATCATGTCAATTGAAAATTAGCTGTAGCACGCCCTGCATGCGCTTGCGAAGCTCGATGTTTTGTATAGATTATGCTGAAAATGCAGTGCGTAAGCTTCGTTTCAAGAATAGCTTGGGGCGGAATCGTGAATTTGGGACCAGCGTTCGAAGACGCGTTTAGGAATGCATGTCTCTACTTGGGAGGCCACGGCGAGGGTTTCCTTGTCAGTGCGCTGTGACCTCATGGTTTTAGATGGTGTTATCGGTCCGTGATTTTGTTATCTTTGGAATTTTTCATGGTGACATTTTTTATGAGTGCCGCAGAAAGTTACCGCTGAGAAGAGCTAGTGCATTTTAGTTCTTATTTCTTGATTATTTCTTGTTTGTTGTTCGTCGTATTGCTCGCATTCCAAAAATAAAATCACAATATGCCATTTCCTAAAAAAGAATAGAACAGTCACACTAAATCCGCTTTCTGCGAGCTCCGCTTTCCCGCTAAACTTTTTCTTCAGTTTCTTGATGGAACACAGCTTTTCTATTTAACAACTGAAAAGAGCGCAGTTAACCTTAAGGAGGGGTTAGAGGGTAATTTTTCGAATACTCGTGGTAACTGACATTAATACGCAAGATATAACTCCTCATTATTAATTAGTTATTCAATCAGTTTCGATGAGCAACACATTATAATCAACTGCGGCCGGTTACGTCACCTAGAAACTGAAAAGGTATCATTCCCTAGCCCATGAGTTGATTGAGTCATGGCCCAGTAGGGGTCTACATAAGTGCTCTCCCTAAAACGAACTTCGTCCTGCAAGCTGTAATCATACAAGATCACCACACATGTGCTGGAACTGCATCGCTCTAATTTAGGCGATGGCAGTGTCGGTGACTCGTGCCACTCCGGCTGATGCGCCAGTCCTGATGCGATTGGTTAGGGAGCTTGCAGAGTTTGAAAAAATGCCCGAATCTGTCAAGGTGAGTAATGAAAAGAATAAATTTAGTCCTTGTATTATGAACTTCAAAAACTTGTAAAGCCTTCGGCCTCGCGGTTCCATGCCGATATCTAACGATTACGGCTGACCGGCTCACCAAGTTAAACGTGTGAGTGCTGTAAGGCTACGGCATAAGCCGTTAAGCTGAGAGGGTGAAATAGGCCCTGGTGGCGTAACGGATAGCGCACTCGCCCGGAAAGCGTGAGGTGCGGGTTCGACTCCCGCCTGGGGCACGACTTTTGCCCATAACTCAGCATTCTTGTGATAAATTTAGTCCTTGTATACAGAACTGTACATACCGAGGGCATAACAGCTGAGACCACTCGAAAGTGAGCTCCTTTTATTGGATTCACAGCTCATCGGGAATCACTCAGTTTTTCTCCGGTCTGGAGCTGCATGGGCGTCTCAGCCAAGGTCATAAACCCATTTGCAGGGACATGTCAGCGACCGAAGTCGTTGTACTACTGCCGATGTTTTTTTCATAATATTTTCGTTTTTCGCTTCTTCATCAACCACAGTTTGGAGCGGTAATGTATGCAGAAAACTCCGGAGTCATGAAGTAGTTTCTAATCAGTACATGGTTCCCAAGGTCAAAAATGGTGGTCAGTATTACAAAGTACCTATTTGGTTGCGTTTAGAGGCATTGTCTGCGATAAATTAACGCTAGGACCTCTTAATTGAGCGAGGTGATCCGCGATTGGAGAGGATTACTAGATTCGAGTCTCGGGAGAGTGTCGCAGTTGCGGGAAGGCTGCCGTCCTTAGCTTAAGGTGTTAGACCGGCCTTAGCACTCAATAGGCGGCCATGCCGGCAAGTTTACGCCTTGGCTTTGAAGAGCTAAATTGTGAAACTGCGGCTTTTGATCCTGTGCCCTTGGCGCGTGTGTGCGAGAATAGGTCCGCAGCTGACCAAGTTTTCGCTACTTCTCTCCTTAAAAGTGCTCGGGAACGGGCCTGGAGGCAGTGGTACCCGGGTGCGACGTCTTCATCAGCTCACTGCCCGTCGCGCTTGCCGCACCACAGCACATTGCCTAAGCCATAGCGCTAAAGCGGCTAATTGACTGCGGTCTCTCCCTCCTATATTCTTGAACGCTGAGTAAGTGTTTCGCTACGGGATCTTGTATCGAGAAGTACCGCACACTCATGATGGCGCGGGTGGGGTATGGAGGCAGCATCTTAGTCCCGTGCACTTTTGAGTAAATAACCTGGGCGCACGCACTGCTCTAACGAGGCTGCATTCATGCTCACAGCATGAAAAGCTACGGTCCGCGCGGAAGTCATGTTTCACCTATCTGGCCCTTCGAGGCGCCGTTCTACTTCCACACTGATCGTTTCCTGGTCGTGCTTTCAGTGTGTACCATGGCCTTTAGCGTATTGCATCCGATCTAAACCACCTTGTGCTAGCCGTCTGTGCACTCTCGATGCAAACTTTAAAAAAGGAGGTCTTACTCAAGGGGCAATTTGTCGCTGCTTTCTTTGGCCTGTAAAACCACTAGCGAATAAAGCTTCTGGCTTTTTGAAGAGTGAAAAAAGTACGACGCACTGGCTTACGAAGTACGTGGGCGGTACATGTTTATCAGACGATTGACGGATGATTCAGTAATGGCAACCACAAATGCCAACTGAATGCTTCCGGTATAGAAGGCATTTAGCCAAGCTGTGTGGATTGTTCTTCATATTGTGTTTTTGTTTGGAGCAGCCTTTCGAGCAACTTCTGATTTACGATTGATAGAGGTGCGATTGGCAAGCTGATCCTCGAAAGAAAGGCGCGGGTCGATGTTTCGTACTGGCGTGAAGGCCGATGAAACAGGGCTGGCCAGCGATTCTTCTATTTTACTATGCGTACTCTACATGGGAAGGACAATATATCCATATGGAGGATATCTACGTGCGTCCACAATTTCGTCGTAAAGGCTACGGTCGACTGCTATGGCGAGAATTGGGAGTGTTGGCCAAGGAGCTGCATGTGAAACGGTGAGGTTTTTCAGTTGTCATGTATGGTAGCAGAACCAATTGACAAGCGGCTTTGCATGGCACAGTCGGCAGCCAAGCTCTTTACCCGTAGCTCGGCCAGCGTCTGATGGAGTGAACTCGGACTCCTAACTGATACCTTTGCTGATTACAACCACAGCCCATCAGACTCTGCCCAGCTAAGAGCAAAAATAGACCGATCGGGAGTGTCTGGAACAGGGCACATCATTAGTTTGGATTTTGGGTCACGTCCGAACAATCCTCATGAAAGGTGGCGTGATACGCCCCCGCCGCCGTAGTTCTGCTCACTGCTGATCGAGCTTGTCGAGCGGGAGGGGGGGGGGGTTAGCGCACGTGCACGCTGAACGGACTAAGGTCGCAGTAAAGGACGGCTCGGCTGTCTAATGATGTCTAACCGTTCCTCAGATTTTTCTCCTCCAACTTTCTTACCAGTTCTTTCGAAATTTCTCCAAAAGTTTTCCAAAATCTCTCCTTAAATTTTGTTGTCTTGCGAGGGGTGTATATAGAACCTAATGGAAAACCGAGGAAACTCCACTACCGGAAACAAGTTTTCCCAACACCACAAAGGCAAACCTCCTCTTATCAGATCGCTGATATCACTCTCTGCCACCCACCAACAATGTTCCTGTCCCACACCCTATATCATACCGTGGAACCAATGTCCCACTATCGCTGTGTCCCGCACTATGGGCTCGGTGGCCCTCCCCTTCTGACGCCTCTTATCAGATCTTATCAGCTGATATCACTCCCTGTCACCCACCAATAATGTTCCCGTCACAGCCCCTATATCACTGCTTGAAATCAACTTCCTACAGCAACTGGGACGGTCGCCACATACAGACACAGTTAGCGGATTATATGTAACCAGTCGAACCAGTCAATCGCCGGCCGCGCGTACCTTCTTTCACATATTTCTAGACTCAACTGATATCAGGCTTTTGTTCTGTACTCATGGTTAAAGCTTCTCGACAAATACATCATCCCTGCTATTTTGACTATTACTGAGTATGGAGTGGTACTAAAGTGCGTCGATTATGGGCACAGGCGAGAGAATAGCTGGGGAAGGAATGTGTGGCGAAGCCGTGCCCGTCCGGCCAACTTGGGCCGTATCACAGGAGGAGGAGCGCTGGCATCAGCCGCCGAGCCGACTGGAATCTAATACCTATGACGACCGGTGGTTAAGAGTATGGCAGAATACGCGCTAAAACTCAGTAAGAATAAGTACGTCGTGCGCTCCGCCCACTGGGAGCGGGTTACAACACACCACAGACACACTCAACTCTTGCCATATATCCAACAGTTGAGGTCCTGCACATCTCTGCTTACATGTTGACGGTGTCTGGACCGCTCTGGAACCGTTTTGCAGATTTTTTGTCTGGCTCCGCCCACCTCGGGCTGGCCCCGCCCACAACATATGCCCCACATTTCTCAATCGGCGACCCTTTGCTGACCTTAATCCACTTTTTTCCGGTCCCTGGAGTGCTCTGGAACCGTTTTACAGAACTTTTGTCTGTCTCCGCCCACCTCGGACTGGCACCGCCCACAACATGTGTGCCCCACATTTCTCAATCGGCGACCCTTTGCTGACCTTGATCCACTTTTTTCCGGTCTCTGGAGTGCTCTGGAACCGTTTTACAGAACTTTTGTCTGTCTCCGCCCACCTCGGACTGGCTCCGCCCACAACATGTGTGCCCCACATTTCTCAATCGGCGGCCCTTTGCTGACCTTACCGGTCCGCGTAGTGCTCTGGAACCATTTTTCACAGATTTTTCGTCTAACTCCGCCCACCTCGGAGCAGGCCCCGCCCACTATGTTTGTGCCCCGCAATCCTCAATCGGCCCAGCCCTCGCTGACCTTGATCCTCTTTTTTCCGGTTTCTGGAGTGTTCTGGAACCGAGCTACAAACTTTTAAAATGAGTATCCTGCGATTTAGGGCAAGCTCCGCCCACTGTGGGTGGGTCTCAACACACTTTGAGCCTGCCCAACACTCGCCAGATATTTACGTTCTGCACTGAGCTTTTTGCGACTTCTGAA